TCAGTTATTATTCAAATAACATAGAAATATGTTGCTAAAAAGTATAAGATAAGGTAAGAGTTATTACATGTAATATAAATTATATACAAAAGTTCGGGCTACAATAAGGGCTTACTATCCACTTGTTTAGTGATTTTCCGGGAAGGAGTAAACGGAAAAAATTTATAGTACAAAAACATTATTTCGACTTTCAACAGGAAACTTTGATATTTATCATGTAAAATTCACTCGTATAACCTAGCAGTTCTCTAAAGTATATTGCATGCCATTTTCGATATGTGTGAAAACTGAACTTTCTTTTAAAGTAATATCAAAACAAAAACATTAGCAAAGAACATTGTCACTTACTAGTCTGCCTTCTACGCAAAGTCCCACACTGCGAGGGGCGTAAAAAAGAAAAAAACTACAACAACTACACGACTGCCAAGGGACACCAACTACTTCATATACGCTAAATGCCGCATCAGGAAGAAACCTCTGCTCGCAGGGAAGCAAAATCCTTTTTGTGTTACACACAGGCATAGTTTCTTTGACATCAAACACTTTGTGCGACCCTTGAAATAAAGAAACATTTTATGCATTAACACACTTTGAGAAATAACTGCTGTGGTAGTAGTAGTACTTATTGTACAATGTATTGTAGAAGGCCTGTATGTAGTAAGCGGCCCTAAATGTAATAAAGTCCTAAATGAAATAACATTTTGTCCTAAGTGTCATAAATTCCTAAATGTAATAACACTTTGTCCTAAATATAATAAACTCTTAAGTTGCAAATTACAGTAATTACTCAAATAAGCACCACATTTGGGGGGATGTAATAAGCGCCGAGGTTATTCGCGTAAATACGGCACTAAGAGGTATTACTATATATGGTTTTAAGCGCCGCATTTTTGGAGAAAAAATTTATTAAGCTTCGGGACATTTCCTTATGCACTGTGTGACTTTCGTTTACAAATAAATTGCTTGTAAAAGTTTTTCGTACGTCATTTTTGTTAAAGAAATTTATTGCAAGAACCGGGGACGAAGATCCTTTTGCTTGTCAACGTTGGATCTCTAGAAAAGAGATCTAATCGTGCAGCTAAAATATTAAGAACAAAAACCGAGAAGTCTAAGGGCCTGTTTACATGGAGGTGGAGGACCCCAGGTTGGTGAGGTACATAAGCTCTCATTTTAATTTGATCACGTTTACATGAAAGGTGTGGTGGACCCGCGGCATGTTATCCAACCTATCTGGGGTCCCCCACCTCCATGTAAACAGGCCCTTAAAGACTACTGTATAGCTGATAACAACGTTTATAAATAGCTAAGATAGTACGCACACGCTCGGATTGGCCGAGAGATGTGTTTGCATGAGAGTATGTAAACATCTGTGGAGTCAAGATGTTTTGCTCTTCGCGCGCTAATCACACAGTTGAGACTCGACAAATTTACTTTATTTACCCATACCCTCGTCGGATGAACAAACATGCTGTGCCAGTTTTTTTTTCGCTTAAGCTGGCATTTTAAGCGAGATAAACCCGTTTTTGGAAAGCATCTTTATTGCAAAACAAGAACTGACTACACGTACATTAAGCTTCGTGTACAAGACTTCGCGACTGATAGGAATTTCTCTTTTAATCAGTAACCTAAACAAAGAGTTTTTCTTTTTTCTCGGGAAAGTTATTTTATAAAAGCAATAAAAAAAATTTTTTCCTGTGTTTGCATAGCCTGATATAAACACTCGAGGGGTTGGGAGAATCTTGACAGTTATGCAAACCCGAGACAAAGTCGAGGGTTTGCATAACTGTCTCGAAATAAATATTGCTTTTTTATAAAAAATACTGTTACTTTGTCGTTTACGAGCAATATATTTGTAAACGTTAAGTTTCACAGTGCGTAAGGAAATGTACTGAATTTACGCAGGAGCCCATTTGATGGGCTCCTGATTTACGCGAATTACCACTGCGATGCCTATTATTTTCTTCTCCAAAAATGCGGCGCTTATTTGAAAGTGGTGCTTAATACAATAGTAATACCGCTTAGTACCGTATTTACACGAATACTAATTAACCTCCCCCCCCCCACTTAAATGCGGCGCTTATTTGAGGGCGACACTTATTCGAGTCTAATTACTGTAACTGGCAACTTAAGAGTTTATTACTTTTAGGGCAAGTTGTTATTACATTTAGGACTTCATTACATTAAGGACAAAATGATATTACATTTAGGACTTTATTACATTTAGGACAAAATGTTATTACATTTAGGACTTTATCACATTTAGGGTCGTTTATTACATTTAGGCCTTCTACATATGTATTTACGGTGAAAGAGTTAGCATTAGGTAACATTTGCTGGATGACAGTCGTTTTCGCTTAACAACAGGTTTCATGGTCTCATCCAAACAAAACATGAACATTGTTTCCGATCCAAACCATGATCCAGGCCTCTTTATTAACGTTTGAAAATGTAACCTTTATTTGGGATAAAAATCTCATTTGCCTCTGTTAACATTACTATCATTATCATTTTCATAATCATCGTCATCATCGTCGTTGTGGTCATCGTCATCGACATTTCAATCATTATCATTATTATTGTTACTATTATTATCATTATTATTATTATTATTATTATTATTATTATTATTATTATTATTTGTTCCATAAGCTATTCCAAACCATTTTTTCAACTCAAGGAAAAGTCGAAAGTCCTTAATCTAGTTTTCAATTCCCATTTCAAGATCTATTTATGAACTGTTGACAACTGGTAATGCTGAGAGTCATTACGATAGCACTGCTTTTGAAAAGGTTTGGAAGCTTTGTAGCCATTTTGGAGAAGTTCAGAGGGCTAAATTCAACAGAATTTTCCTTGCGCTATCGTCTTTCGGTAAGGAAACGGTAAGGAAGAGGGTCTGAATGGCGGTACCTCGATGACACTAAGAACTTCATTTTTTGGCTTTGTAGCAAGAAACAGTTAAATTTTAGGCATTTTAACTGTAACAGTAAAAAATTCTTTGAAACGGTAGTTTTTTTTTCAGAAACAAGCGAAAACGGTTCCTAAAAGACCAATATTATTTTGTTTAGTGTATCAAGGAGTTTTCGGCCATTTTACGACAATTCCGGGTTATTTCAGAAGATTTCTGAAGGCTATCGACGATTCCCGAAGACTGTCGAAGATTTCCGAAGACTAACGAATAGGTCCGACTATTACCGAAGATGTCCGAAGAACCTTCCAAACACTTAACCGTATTTTCTTCGGAAACAGTAAACATTAAAAACTGGCTAATTTAAGTGCAAACACTAAAAATTAGGGGCAAATAACACTAAACACTAAGCCCCATTCCGACCCTCAAGGAAAGGTTTTTATATGGCCTAAAATTGGGAAACGTTCGCTGAAATCTTTTCATCGTTTCTCATTATATTCGGTACACTTGGTGGACAGTTATGTAGGAGCTGATCGTAGGGTCTCTCCTGATTGGTATGACATGTCATTCTTTCAATTGTTTCAGTATTGTTTGGGGTCAAGATTAGGTACCATTGATGACTCCTATTCCGAGCAGCTGCTACATGACCCTTGGTGGCTAAGAATCAGACCAAGAGGTGGCTGTGACATCAACATTGTTGAAGTCTTTTTCAATTCTGTGCACCTTAATTTGTCAGTAATTTGCTTAATTTAAAAAATAAATAAATAAAATAGCCTTTATTTAAAGAGGGTAGCACTTAATAGCCAAAGGCTAATAAACTTGTGGCCCTCATATATTTTACGTCTCCTAATGGAGACGGGACCGCCATTTTACGTGGTCATCCGAGCCACGCGAAGGTCCAGCCGCCTGCAGGGCAAAGGAAGTACCTTCATTTCTCAGTTATTTTTAAGACCCTGAGTATTGGTCCGGCCCCGGGAATCGAACCCGCGACCTCCCGCTCTGCAGTCAAGCGCTCTACCGACTGAGCTAATCCTGCCGCGGTCA